TCTTATATCATTTAAACCCCACCCCAAATATGAATGATATCAAATCAACGCATCAGTTAAATGAAGTGAGATGGTGAAGTGAAATGAAATGTCAGGAGAAAAAATAGGGAAAGTCCAACAATTTGATCAGGGCAATGGTGTTGAGGAGAGATGTCATTCCCTATATGCTGTTCTGCTTTATTAAAAATGTGGGTCCCCCGTAGCCTATTTGACCAATAAATGACAAAGGAAAAATTGCAACATTTTTCACAATGCAAGTGATGCTCCTACCTCATTCCCCCATCTAGAACAGGTAAATTCCCACAGTATTTTCTTTTATCAACTGACCCCATTTTCTTGTATGAAAACTCAAGGGTTAAGGATTTCATCTCCCTTGCTTCACCAACCAGTACAGGTAGTCCTCAACTTACAACTATTGAGGCCTTTGAAATTACAATGGCACTGAAAAAAAACGACTTATGACTAGCCCTCACACTTATAACTAATGTAGCTTCCCCGTGATCAAGTGATCAAAATTTAGGCACTTGGCAACTGGCATGTACTTATGACAGTTGCAGCATCCTGGAGTTACGTGATCTCAATTTGCAAGCTTCCCAGCTAACTTCTGTCAAGCAATGTCAATGGGGAAAGCTGGATTCACTAAATTATGGTATGATTAACTTTATAATTATAATGATTCACTTAACAACTTAGCAAAAAGGTTGTAAATAAAGTATGACTCATTTAACAACTGTCTTACTGAGCCATTGCAATTCTGGTCCTATTGTGGTTAAAAGTCATTAGCAAAAGCCATGCTGGTTAGGAAATCCATATGTCTGGAAATAATCCTATAGGAAAAGAGTACAGTCTTCCCAATGAGATCCCATGTTCCTTCCCCCTTCCTAGGCCCTAAGGTTCCGCCCATTACCTCAGTGTTGTATTCTTCCTTGAATACCATAGCTGGATTCTGGGCAGGCATCATTCCCTCATGGTTGTAGATTGGTTCCAGAGAGAGTTGTGGCTGGGGGAAAGTGCCAGGCGGGTAGGAAACTTGGACATTCTGCAGCTGAGCCAGGTGTCCTATCTCAAAGGGTTCATATCCAGGTTCTTGCATCTCTAGCCAGTTCATACAAGACTCTGAAAAGCAAGATCCTAGGTCAACAAGAAGGATCCAAGATACTTAGAGAAGCTCACTATTCAAAAGCATCGTATTAAAAAGTAATCCAAAATCATCAGTAAGTGTGCACAAACTTCAGGTTAGTAGGTGTTTTCTTTGACCATGCATTGCAAGCAAGATCTACCACCCAGAAGGGATGGTTAAGTATAATGAAAAGGAGTGGCTATTACCACTTTCTTTCCACCATACACTGGAATAAGATAGAAGATAGTGAGAAGCAGTTCTTCCCATGGACCCTTAATTCGGGTTGAGCAGAGTTCCCATTTCATGGGACATAACAAATTTTAGCTTCTGTTCATCATTTAATTGTTTACTTGTTTTTTGTTACATATGCTTGTTTTTCTCTTGTATTTTTTTCTGTTGGTTTTGGTATGCTGCCCTATGACACCTAGTTTGAAATGGCCACAAAAATGCTTAAAATAAAGCAATAAGCAAATAAACAATCCTGCACATCTACTACTAATCAGTAGAGCTTCATCTGCTTTTTCACCTGCTGTTGTTTTGTATTTACTGGTAATCTTCGACTTACAACCACAATTGGCATTGGAATTTCAGTCGCTAAGAGATGTAGTCACCAAATGAGTCATCGTGTAACCAAACCTGATTTTATGACCATTTTTACTGTGGTCATTAGGAGAATCAAGAAATTAACATGGTCATTAAGCAAATCCAATTTCCCAAATTGATATTGCTTGTCGTGGCTGAGAAGGTTTGCAACTTATAATCACATGAACGTAAGACATTGCACCCATCGCAACTGCGAACTGGTTGCTAACTATCAGAATTGCAATCATGTGGCTCTGGGGCTGGGTTGATGGTTGTAACATCGAAGATGAGTCATAAGTCACTTTTTCTAATCCTATTGTAACTTTGAGTCATTGTTTAAACAAATAATAATGTAAATAGCCAGTCTGGTCATCATCAGCTACAGTTCCATGTAAATGATCTGAAAACAGGCAGAAGAGAAAAAGAAAGACAGCGTGTTCTAAGAATTAGGTGGTGGATTAGGATACTGAAGGCCAAATCTACTCTCCACTTGAGAACCTACTAAATGATATGAAGCCAGTCACTATCTCTGACCATTTTAGGGAGGAAATGGAAATCAATAGCTCTGTATATATTGCCCTGAATTCCTGGAGCAAAATGGGGATAAACCTTGAATTAATAAAGAAACACAAAGGAATATCACATCTTTGTCTTGACTTGACTAACTTTCCACAAAGAGGACTAAAAGAAGAGGAAGTCCTTCCCACACAATCAGTATGCAAAGAGCAAATCTGAAAAAACAGCAGTAAGACTGCTGCATCCCTAGTCTACTATTCTTGATGGCTTTTCTATACTCCCTATCACAGGCAGCTTTCAATGGCAAGCTTCTACTTTCTTGATAGTATCAGAAATCAAGTAAATAAAATAAAATCACAGATCAGTTGCAGACAGTCCTTGACAACTGCAATTGAGCCCTAAATTTCTGTTGCCAAGCAAGACAGGTGTTAAGTGAGTTTTGCTCGACTTTACAACCTTTCTTGACATAGTTGTTAAATGAATCAGTGCAGTTGTTAAATGAAACTGGCTTCCCTGTTGAGGTTGCTCGTCAGAAAATCATAAAAGATGATCCCATGACTACAGGACACTACAACTGTCATAAATACGAGTCAGTTGGCAAGCATCCTAATTTTGATCATGTGATCATGGGGTGCAGTAACAGTCATAAGTGTGAAAAATAGAGATAAGTCGCTTTCTCAGTGCAGTTGTAACTTCAAACTAAATGAATGCTTGTAAATTGAGGATTACCTTTACTATCTGCGGGCTTCCCTTTGAGACTGTTTCATATACCACCCTCTTTCCTTTTGCTTATTATGGTGAGGTTCTTGTGGGGAGGGATAAGGGAGTCCCTGTGTATCATTTGCACCAGTGGTTGGATTAAAAAAAAAAATTACTACCAGTTCTGTGGGCGTGGCTTGGTAGCATGGCTTGGTGGGCATGGCAGGGGAAGGATACTATAAAATCTCCATTCTCACCCCACCCCACTAACCTGCTTTCCAGCTCTGTTCTCCTGTGCAGGGCAACCAAAGAAGACCCATCTGATCAGCTGGGACTCGGGAGGCAGAGAATAGATGGGGGCAGGGCCAGTCAGAGGTGGCATTTGCTGGTTCTCCGAACTACTCAAAATTTCCACTACTGGTTCTGCAGAACTGATCAGAACTTGCTGAATACCACCTCTGATTTGCACTCATGTTCACTCCTTGCTTTGAGATGTGAGTCTGCCCTTGTCAGGTGAGGTTTCCTATGGGGAGGAGGCCTACACAATGCTTCTTTTTCCCCTACTCTAGGAGAACGACTCCAACACCCACTTGGTTTGCTCAGGTACCAAGGGGTGGATGATGTTCAGAGCTAACTACAAAGAGCTTTCTGTGTGCTGGGCAGTTGTAAAGTAGGGTCTGTGCAAATATCTGCTACCATGAATTTGCCTAAGAACAGCAAAGCTAGCAACCCTAATGCATATTTGCAGTCTTGCTTCTCCCTGCAGGAAGCAAAATCTGATAAGGCAGCAATGGGCTCACTGAACAGCTCAGGAGGCAGGTTTTTAAAAATCTGTTTCATTCCCCCCTTCAACTGATAAGGACTGAACATCTTCAGTGGGCACAGTGAAATAGTAGCTGTAATAGGGGGAAATGCTTATAAAGCGTTTCTAAAGAGGCTTGCTGGTAGCCAAACAAAAGAGGCTTGCAGTAGTCAAACAAGAATATTTTTCAGCACAATATTTTTCAGTACAATATTTTGTTGCAAATTCTACTTGGGACTTTGAATCTTTTCTATCAGACAGATTGCAATATTTGGTTTCTCTTTGGCTTCCTGCTAATACAATTCTTGCATTTGTGTTGTTTGTTATTGATTATAACTTCCAATGAAGAATATGGTGCATGCTTAAAATAACCCCATGCACTTACATTTTTCAAGCTACATTAGAAGTGTGGTTTTGATGAACCTGCTAAAAGAAGACCAAAGTAGAAACAGTAAGGAAGATGTCGTTCATCAAGAATGTTATTTGCTAGCACAAAGACCTATTACATACATGTTTACAGAATGAACACCCACATTTCCATTCACATTTGCCAGCAAGGAAGTACATGCATTGCCTACTGAGGAAAGAAGAGTCATTTTCACCTTCCAAGGAAAAGCCCTTCCAACAGTTGCAAAGACTGCAGCCTTTCAGTAAAATGGGAAGCCCAAATACTTTGGACTTTTATGTTAAACTGAAGCCCTTGTCCTCGAAGATTGTCTATCGTAGCCTCCACAAGGCTATGCCTGCTGGGTGAACTCAGCAAAACAGTAATTTGTTCATCCACTCCGTGGGCCACAGGTGTGGCTCAATCAGGTAAGTAAAGGCTGTTTTCAGTTAACATCCTGGGGTCAATGTGGAATGTGATTATGCTGTTTTTTCAGCAACAATACAGAAATGGCCATTCACTTTCTCAGTCCACATCGCAAGTACGGTCATCTAAGTGCTCCCTTGGCCTGAGATTAACAATAGTTATGTTGTTATTGGGGAGTAATAATAGTTGCATTATTATTAGATTTGGTATACAGAAAATATACCAAGTACTCCTACCTCCTGTGTTCCCACAATCACCTCTCTTTGAGTCTGTGAGAGAAAGCAACTGGCTCAATGTCACCCATCCAGCTGGCCTTCATGACTAAAGGAGACCTGGAACTCCCAGTTCCTAGGCCAGCTCCTTCACCACTACACCAAACTGGCAATGCCAAGCAATGGCTAAAGTGCTGAATCTGAACATCTGAACATCTGAATCTGACCCAGGCTTACTTGACTGGAGAGCTCACTGCTGAAATGTGAATCAATCATTCCCTTTCAGTTCACTCTACCCCAGAGAAGTGTTGTGATGGGGATAAAATGACGGGGACGGGCTTCTAAGTACAGCTCTCAGAGAACAAATGACAAATGACAAAGGCCTACTATTTAGCAAGTAGTTCGGGTCCTGAGTACTATTTACGACAAGATACTACCATAACACTGATCTCTCACAATGCCTAGGCACTTTCCACCTTCCTGAGAGTAGAAAACCTCCAAAAATGAGATTGCATATATTCTGGCAGATTCCCATGAATGTTAACTATGCAGAAATGTCCCAGAAGTCAGGTGGTAGTTAGTTACATGACTAAATCTAAATTGCACAAGAGAGCAGAGCAGAGGGGAGAAGAGAGATCAGCAGCTGTGGAACAGAAAAATGAGTGATAAGAGTTGCTTCTTGGAGCTCTTCAAAGCCGAGCAAAAATGTCCTATATAAGTCAGCGGAGAGTGACAAACCATATTTATGTGTGAGGATAACTGATGCTTATGGTTAATTTCTGTGGCACCTTATTTCAAACTTTGTTTTCTTTTGGTTTTTTTAAATGATGGGTTTTCTCCTCTATCAAGGCCTTTTGACTGATCGTTTTCTTTATAATTCTGCATTACATTGTAAAATACTAAACCACTTAAACTGATCTTACCTGGGGAGCTCTCCGGATCTCCAAGGCAGGGAGGAAATGTGGACTCTTCCTTGTAAGAGTCCAAATCACTGATAAATCCACTGGGGAACTGAGAAATATAGTGAGGTTGTCAGTATAATGTAAACTTCAGAAATGTTTCCCAAGATGCATTAGGAAGGCAAGACATCCTGCCTTGTCAATCCATTCAATCCTTGCTTCAAGATCAACATTTTCCCACCATGAACTCTGCAGTCATGACTTCTGCCAACATCCCATTACGCATCGCATCGGTGGAGGGGTGAAAATGTGCATGATGGTGTCATCACATAAACCATATGACATACATTTGTATCAGTTGCCATAATGTCAGTGGACAGAATGTCGTTGTGTGATCTCCTCTTACAAGCCAATTCCTTCAGGCTATTCTTTGGCCATTGGCGTGTGTGTGTGTGTGTGTGTGTGTGTGTGTGTGTGTGTGTGTGTGTGTGTG